GCTCCAATATGTAATTTGGAGCGTGGTTTAAGGAGACCAGGGATGCTGTTCTGTGGACTCAGATCGTTGTCGAAGGCTGCAGAGGTAGGAGAAATTGAAGATGATGCAGCATCATTAATTAAGAGACGTGAAGGAAGATTAGAAGGTAATGATGGAGGAGGAGGATAGCAGTCAGAAGAAACTTGGGTGCTGACAGAGTTGTGAGGGCGGTTGACACTTCCCGGCTGCCCACACCGTGGAAGGCTATTTCTTCTTAAGGTACCTGAAAGAGATTTGTGTGACCGCAGAGCCCATCGGACATCTGCTTGAGGCCTGTCACACCCAGCCTTTTGAGTATGATTATTTTGAACTTTTGTCGATGAAGTCTCTTACTGTTGGTCTGAGTCGTGTGGAGCAATATAGACTGCTTTGTTAGAGTCCCCGTGGCGAAATAAATCCGTCATTGAGGACTCTCGATGACGTGGCTGAAAATCAGTCACATTGGCTCATTTGTATGCACCCGACATCTAGTGGTTGAATATTCATACCAACCTTTATCCTCATATTTTTTATTCTCTCATAATATGTCTACTGTGGTATCGCTGCTTTTCTGTACACCTGTTCTTTGTGTACTACTGTGAAGTGTGGTAACTTGAGCCGATTCACCTGTGTGCGAGGTTCTACGTTGAATTTATCAGTCAGTGCGTGTCAAATCCATCTTGCGTTTTGGTGACCTTCAAAGTTGGCGTCCTAAACAGAGTGACATAAGCAAACTGCCTGCACATATTATTACGACCAAATACTGAACCGAGCTAAATCCAAAGTAGTCGAACCTGCAAAAAATATAAATAAGCGTTGGCTAGATTTCCACGGTGCCATGAAAATGGTGAGTACAGCTGTGCGTGGCTTTGAAGAACGTCCCGCTAATAAATACTTAGTCTCTGCCGGCTCGCAACTGCTTAACGCTCATCAATGTATTTCAACAGGTGCATAACTTCCTTACACGATAGATCAAATAAAATTTGCGTAAGGATGGCGAGATGTGGTGATCAGAACGTGCGAATGAGATGGAAGGAGTGGCTGCGTAAGACTGTAGTCAGGTAACTGACTATATTGCCTCAGAATATATGGCAGGCTGTGTTTCATCACTCTTTAATAAGACCATTGTTGTACTCATTTTTACGAAGGGATCTACGCAACACATGTGATAGTTATCAAGATATCACTCTGCTGCCAGTAATGTCGAAATTGTTGGTTGCTGTCATACTTCAGGCTCTGCAAAACGTATGAAAAGGTAATCCAAGAGGAGCGATTTAGGTTTCGTTCAGGTCGTGGATGCATTGATCATGTGTTTATCCTCTGCCATTATACTAAAACGCCATCACACGTATTACAGGTCAACGATCGTTGCATTTCTCGACATCAGGGCCTATTTCGATTGGTTGGACACAGGTGTTCTCTAACTTTTTTTTTAGAAGGGGGTTACCTTGAGAAGTCTCTTAGTACCTCTAGTCCCTATAATTCAGCACCCCGGGTAAAATGAAGGGTTACTGCCATCTATATCCGTAGTTACAAACCAGTAGTGGAGTTAGACAGGGCTGTCCGATTTTACCATTCCTCGTTGATTTCGCCATCAATGACATGCTTGAGACTACCCTAAAGCAGGTGGGGTGTGAGAACGTAGACTTGTTACCAGATAAAAACTCTTTAACCTCGAGTATGCAGACGAAATCGTTTTATGGTGCTACAGTATACAGGTCGCCCAAATCGCGCACAATCACTTATCGATCATTGTCGGTAGGTATGGTGCCGTCAAAGTGCGAAGTGCTTCTATAAGACTGGTAGTGGCATGTACCTGCACTCACCGATGGTGATGAATTGCTAGAAGTTGACGAAATGTTTCCATACCCTGGGTAGTTGTGTGAGTACTGTTTCAAGTATAACATGAGATTTCCCGTTGTATTGAAAGCCTGTGTGGTATACGCCAACCCGGATCACCTCTGGTACCGTCATAGCTTTGGCCTGTTTGCCTTCTAACTCGATTATGTTGTATGGCACGTCTCCTGGTATCGATGTTGTACCATGTTTGTATTCTAAATAAATAATAATAACAATGCTGCATTGATCAAGTTCAGATAACAGCAGAATGTACGTGGAGGAGGTGTCATTGTCTGCGGGTTTTTTTCAAATTCGAAAATAGTCTTTTTATTCAAAGCCAACTACACTTCTCTAATTTTTGATCCATTCAAGTCTGTAGCTATCTCTTTTGCCATGATGGTTTTGTTTCAGTCTAGATCTAGTTTCCATTTTCGACAAGGGAGATGGAGACAGAACTAACTAATTCAGCCCTACAACTAGCCATGATGAGCAAGGAGGTGGGCTTACTGTTAGTACCCACCAGGACACGGCGGGTTATGGAAACTGTGAGAACCGTTTTAAGATAGCGTTAGGTTTTTCAAACACGTCTAGTTGCTACAGTGTCTGGTATTTCTTTGACCTCCTAACCAAATAAATCCAAGGAAACAGTTAAAACATAGTGAATTGTCGGAATGTCGTAAACACCGTAGCCAGTCAACAGATACGTCACATCAGCGTCGTGTACTGAATATACCACTATGTTTGGCAGAAAAAGGGGCTGTTTCATATTCAACTCAACTTTTCCTCCTCTATTAATTGGAGGTATATGCTTCAAAAATGAAAACATAATTTCTTATCTCCATGTTGTGTGGTTGATGGATTCTCACTTGATGTGCTCACAGTAGGTGTAGCAACTTGAACCGCTACACAGTAATGCCAAGTCCTATATTGGTATTGTTTTTCTCTGATTGGATTTACCATATGTATAATGTTGCATAATATTTCTCTGCCTAAATAGTGCACAAAGGAAATTCCAGGCTGGATTGAATGAAGTCAGCAGGCTATTCGATGGAAAAGTTAGCTTCTTCAGGCAATATCATCCGACTAGAAATTGTTGTTTCGTTTGACTTATTTGTTAAAAGTGTGCGTTCAGTTAATAATTGAAGAAAAGTAGATGCGAATGAGGAACATCCTTTTTCTGCCAAACCTCATAGTGTTATATGCAGTACATGTAACGTATTTATTGATTGGTTTTAGACAGTTGTGAGGCAGGTTGACGCTTCCTGGTCGCCCACATACTGGAGAGTTACTTCTTGAGATGTTTAAAAAGGAAGGGCTAGTAATAACGGTACGTGACCACAGAGCTCATTTTAGAAGTTTGAGATTTTAGTTTGTTTTGTTCAAATTCACCCACAGTTCCATTCCACTGTCAGCGGTACACCACATGGTAAAGAGGAGTGTGCTATTTTTAGGACGGACCTTTTCTAACACCCTATTGTCGTCAGCATCATGGCACGGAAAACACCTTATTTCTGTCATATCTCCATCCAGTCAGCACCACGGCTTCGCCCTTGGATCCCCGTCATGGCATATTGGTTTACACTGTAACAGTAAATGCTGTTAATGATGGGGTCGTGGCTAGCAGTGGAATCCAGGATGCGCATTTCGTCCTATTTGGGACGACGGTATCATATAAACACCCTTATAATAAATGCTGTTCATTACACTACTATCCAACAAACCTTTTTGGTAAGGTTGAACCTTGAGTGAACAAGTGTTCCCGCTAGTGTAATTTGTTGGGTCGTTGTAAAATGTAAGGTCAACCAACTTTGACAGTCTGACAGTTCAGTATGATTCCAAGGCTACTTCAAGGCTGCGCGTGGAATGGAATCCAGCCATCAAATACTAGTATGTTTCGGATAATTAGCTACACTTATTAAGTGATAGTTAACGATACTACCTGACCAATAATACCTTTATGAGCACAACTGGACATGTGTTTGAATGTAATTGGTTATTTTTCATGGAGATATATTGAAACTGAAGAAACTTTTTCAGAGTATACTTATCGCTTTATAGATAATCGGGTATACTCTCCTTCATCACAAATAGTATAGATTGTTTTGTATTTATGTTGAGTTTGCATTGACTATCAACTGTTCAGGTTTCATGCGACAATCTGAGAAAGTTAATCAATCTACTATGTCAGTTATTTTATTGTCTATTTGTAAATTCGACTTGAACAAGTTCCCTTCTTAAGGGAATTGATTCTACACCAAAGCATCCTTTTCATAATGATCATCTGTTTTAATTTGTCTTTGAAGAATTCACATCCATTTAAGTCACCATAGGTAGAACTTACAGGATTCCGGAAACTATGCTTCTGATATCATTCTCTACTGATAATGGTGAGGATATATGAATTACTTTACTTTCAATCAGAGAACCTGGGATTCAAGCCCCCCACGCTCTATTTACCTTGTCGTGTCTAACTAGGTAGCATCCATGAGCCATCATACAGTCAGCATAGCTCATAACCTGATGCATAAAAGCCTGTCCAGGTAGGTGAGTTGAGTAGGTGAGTGTTTCTAATTTTTGGTCGGTAATAGAACTGAAAACTTGGTAGACGTGATGAAAACTCAACAGTGATATTGGGTGATGATCGCTCTATGTTGCGAACTGACAGAAGTTGGAAATATGAACTGTTACGTCCCGACCCAGTGGCCCAGTGGTGACGTACTGGCCGCGGAATATGAAGGTCCTGGGTTCGATCCGCGGAAGGGTCATGGGTGAGCACTGCTGAGGAGTCCCATGTTAGGAAGATACAGCTGTCCAGTGCCCCCAGGTTTCCATTGTTCCCCCAACTGGCCGATCAATTCGGTCCAATCAACGACAGTATAATACAAGCAATTACACTAAAACTATACCCGTCGCACAAGAACTGGCTATCTTGGCTTCATAGTGTAGTGGACAACGCACTGGCGTTTGAAGCGATTTTCCCCGGTTCCGAATCATTCACTGGGAGGCAGGTACATCCAACTGACGAGTCCCAAATAGAACGACATATGCATCCTGGATTCCACTGCTAGCCACTATCCATCATTACTATAATACTGTTTCGTTTGATGTTACAAACTGTTCTTGATGTATTATCTTTGTTTTAGTCTCATGTTCCTTATCGTGACTCCAAATTGACACGTATTCTTCAAGAATCTCTGGGTGGTAATGCACGTACAACTATGGTGATATGTTGTTCACCGGCTGCCTTTAATGATGCAGAAACAAAATCTACTCTCATGTTTGGTATGCGGGCTAAAACTATCAAGAATCTGGTAACTGTAAATGAGGAATTAACTGCTGATGAATGGCGAAGAAGGTTTGAACGTGAAAAAGAGAAAGTTAGAAAGTTACGTATTATCGTCTCTCATCTTGAAAATGAACTGAAACGCTGGCGAGTTGGTAAGTTCTATTTTTTATGCGAGAATTATTGCTGTTGTTTGTGTACTAATTTGAATGAATTCGCCACCGATTTCTACTACTTAAGTGATCATGAGTTGACGGAGAAATGAATAAGAATGCTGTAATTACGCTGTAACTCAACCACGTATAGGATAGGGGAATTAAGTGATGCGACCTGTAATGTTACTTGGCTGCCGAAATCACGTTAGGTGAACAGGGGTTGAAACATGTAGCCTACTGGTTCAAAGCCAACTATGATAATGATGATAATAATAATCGCTTTATTCCAAACAACATGTATGATATAGTATGCGATTTTCTGCATGGAACATTCCAACAAATTCGCTTCCTGTACAATATTTTTAAAAGAAATAACTAATACGTCTGCATAGTGTTAATGATAATAGTATTGAAGGGATATGTGAAACGGGCAGCTAGCATTACATTAGCATCTGTTCTTGATTCGGGAATTAATACAAAATAGAGTATAGTTTTGATGATGGCAGATCAGTCAGCCAGCACAGAAATTCACAATTCCATACAGGTATTCTAGGTATAGTTATGTGGTTTGTAGTTGAGCATTTACAAATCCATTTCCCACCGGCGGAACGTTTTTATTTGTTTTATTCTTAGCTTGAGAAACAAAAGTTCAGAAACATTTTAAAAACGTATGAGAGTTACATGATGCGTTCGAAAGACATTTAGAAGATTAAAACAAACTAAAATGGAAAAATTTGATGAAAAGTTTCTTGGTAGCCCAAGCTTTAAGCAGGCCGCCTTAATTACTCAGGTCGATCATCTAAAACTATGTTTGATCTAAAACAAAAGCAACAACACTAAACACACAGAAATACATGGAAAAGTACATAAAGGAATTTTCCCATCAGCATGTCATCTTATAATTTACTCACTTAACCATGTGACTTTCAAACCCCACTCCGTCAACTTCAGCTTGGGCAACCGTGTAGTAGTAGTAGTAGTAGTAGTAGTATCATAATCCCTCTCAAATAATATCTGGCTCATAACCTCGTACACCTGTAACCGGATTGAGTTGCACTAAGTTTTATGGTACATCTCTCGATGCTCATATTGTATCAAGTTTCTGTTTAAAATAAACATAAAAGTAGTAGGACACAAAGGTTGGACATGTGACTATGAGAACAATCTTATTAGGCGGAAATTGTTTCACTAAAGCGCTCGATTGATTAGGCAATTCGATTATCCGAACCGCATAGATCAGTAAATCGAAATTCAAATCTTTATAACTCATTCAACAATAACTTGATTAATGTTATGTTTCCTATCAATATCTTAATTCCTCATGATTTCCTTTCTGTTCTATAAATTACTCAATAACACTAAGTGCTCTGTTGTATAAAAAGGAACAATCTGAACAAAGAATATTCCTTATAGTGATGATGGACAGTAGCTAGCAGTGGAATCTAGGATGCGCATGTCGTCCTATTTGGGACTCGTCAGCCGGATGTACCTGCCTCCCAGTGAGCGATGTTGTTCCCACCGGAATTCGGACTCGGGTGCGATCGCTTTAAACGCCAGTGCGTTATCCACTACACTATCGAGCGACGGGTATGGTTTAGTGTAATTGCTTGTATTGGACCGGATTGATCAGTCTCTGTTGGCGTATGGGCTTCTGTTCGGATGCCTCGATATTGCCTGTTTCAATTGTGTCTAGAATATTATTTTCAAAATTAAACATTCTCATCAGGTTCTACAGATATAAAATGCATTTCTACAGCGTGAAATCAAGCCATGTAAGGAGCAGAAATATTTTCAAAATGGAGTGAGGTTTACAGATTGTAAAAAACGATTTTCTCTGTTAAGTTTGTCAATATTAAGATGACATGTATACACACAGATGAATGATGTTTTGGTGAGTGAAAAGGCAACAAATAACGGAGACAGGAGTAACCTTTAGTTTACTGTAAAGGCTAAAGGAGCAGGCGTTGGCGAGCTACTCGTGGTATTGTTTTCCGCATACAATATATAACACTGAAAGCATCTAAGTGGATGGATGCTCTGTGTCTATTAGGTGCTCAACAATGGAACTTTTCACCACTTTCACTTCGCCCTCTCCAAACCAAGCCGGTGAATGCTGTCGTATGCTTAGATGCGCCTTGCCTAATAGTACCCTCTATGTTACTTGTCCACAGGAATGGTTGAATTGGTTTATGCAAGATGAAGAACTATGGTTAGGTTAGGTTGGACTATCTTTTGGTCTCGAAGTGAGCATTAGCCGACTAGTGAAAGATATAGAAAAACGACTTGCATAAAACGTCTTAGCTAGGCGTTGTGATAGGATGTCACTTGAAAGGTCTGCCTTGAACTCCAAACACAGAAAAAAGGCATCTCCGCTTTCAACAATTCTCGTTTATGAACAATATAGTTGATATCAGCTTTCATAAACTTATTTAAATATCCGTCTTCACTTAGAATATCGTGGGTACAAAGTAATTTTTTCCACACACTCCTTGAAAGAAATCAGTCTTACTGTGAATGCCAGGCACCTGATTATACTGTGTCTTATATGCTAGTTTTCTGTGCATAATCCTCAGTATGTAGCCATCTTTGTTTCTTGTCATTAGCACATCATCACGATATATCGAATAGTTGATTTCGTTTTCATAAGTAAAATAAACTGATGGTTGAGCGTTGTTGAAATGATTCTGAAAAGAATTAATACATATGCACGTACCAGGCACTTAAAAAAGTATCATAGATGTGTCGACAGTACAACTCTATATTGGCAGTTTGATCTTCCAAAGGGCCGTTTTCCAACTTTTCCTGAAATAGGTCTATGAATATTCAATCCAGTGGCGATCCCATAGCCACTCTATCACCTTGTCTGTGCAGATTACTGTTCAAGATGGTTTGGATATTCATTGTGTATTTTAGCAACAGTTCCTTCAAATTCATAATAGGAATGCCACAGTGTGTAATTTCCTTATTAACGACTGTTCGCAGATGTAATCCACGTTTCCCGTTAGAGGGACGGTTGTGAACAAAGAAGTGACATCAAACGATCTTGTGCATTTGTTTAAAACATCCAAGTCTTTCATTCGTGTTGAAATTCATCACAGACTGACATCAGTTGGAGTAACACTGGAAACCTGGGGGTATTGGGCAGCTGTATCGTCCTAGTATGGGACTCTTATTCAGTGCACACCCACAGCCGCGTCACGGATCTAATCCAGGACCTCCACGTTGCGCGGCCAGCACGTTGCCATTGAACCAATGAGTCCAGAATCCAAGAGTCCATATTTCCTACTTCTGTCAGTTTACCATACAATGCCACCTCCATCTATTGTCATCTTTGAGTAACTGTTCTTATATTCAACTTGTTTCCCTCCACTGGTCATGACTTCTTATTGAAACTTCGGGATACACCTCTCAAAGCTAGTCACCAATGAGCACTAGATTAATTCACTCTGCAGCTCAATGGTAACGTGGTGGCCACGAAACCTGAAGATTCTGGGTTCTATCTTTGGCGAGGTCATGGGTCCTCACTACTGAAGAGTCCCATAGTAGGACGAAACAGCTGTGCAGTGCTCCCAGTTTTCCAATATCCCTCCAACTGATATCAGTCCATGATGAATTCCAACCTGAAATCAATTAATAAATCTCCACAAACCCCAGATTTAATTTAAGTTTTTGGTTTATCTACCAACTGAAAGGTATCTTTCACGATATATTTTGCTAGTTAAGTCACGCGACGACTGAAGTAATGGTACTAGAATTTGTTGAAAAGACTATTCTTCATTCAGATTGTTGCTTTTTATTAATGTTATAGAAATCTTAAGATGTTTGAAATCAATATCTGTTTAGTACTGAACCACTTACTCAGTGCACACTATGATAAATTATCATTTCTAAAATACAAACACACAAACGAATGTTTTACAATCATCATTATCACAGATAAACTTAGTTTGAACAGCGAGCATATTGAAGCACTGGATAAAGATTTAAACTCTTTGAAAACGCGTATAGGCGTTGTGATAGGATGTCACTTGATGGATCTGCCTTGAACTCTAAACACAGAAACACAGTGGCTTCTCCACTATCATCAATTCTTGTCTAGGACTAATGCAGTTGATATTAGCTTCGATGAACTTATTCGTTTGTCTTTTCATTCACTATCATATTATCGATTTATGTACGATATATATCATCCTAAAGTTAATATATTTAATAAAGAGAAATTTTCTTTACAGTCCCTAAATCTCACTCCATTTTGAAAATGTGACTACCCCTAACAGGGCTTGATTTTTACGCTATAAATGTAGAACCTGATGAGGATGTTTAGTTTGAAAAAAAGTATTCTTTGTCCAGTTTGTTACTTTTTATTAATATATACTGAGTGATGATTGGAGGTGAAATGAAAATTTGCACCGCAACCGGATTCGAACCAGGCGACCATCTGGTTTCTGGCCCGATGCTCTGCCAACTGAGCTATGAGTTTCGACTGCTGATCAGATTTTTATTTCACTTCAATCACAAGGCAGAGTTTTACCCGACTACCATGTGAATAGTAACACGTCATGAATTCACATGGTAGTCGGGCAGAATCCTTGATGATTATTGATGAAGTGAAATAAAAATCTGATCAGCATTCGGACCTCGTAGCCAGTTGGTAGAGCACCGGCCTGGAAACTAGGTAGTCGCTGGTTCGAATCCGGCCGCGGTCCAAATCTTCATTTCACTTTCAGTCATCACCCAGTATGAAATACTAGTATGCGAAACTCCGGTTATCTCAGTCAAATGATAATTTTATTAATGTGTTATGGGAATCTTTATATGCCTGAAATCTGTTGTATACGTTTGATGCATCATCTATCTTCAACTTAACTCAATCATTCCTAATTTTCTTCCTGTTTTTCTTTTCTCTCTTATGTGTTATTGTTCAGAACTCTTTTCATGTGAATCAGAAAACTGCGTTTTATGCATTGATTGATAAGAGTTTAAGAATAGTTTGTCAGCCTTTTTTCTGATGATAAACAAACAATCTAACACAGCAGTTAATCACTTTAAACTGTTACACTTTTCAAAAGCACAGTTGAAGTAAAGTAAAATATTGACATGAAGTAAATGAAGTCGAAAGAAGTATCAGAAAATGGTAGAAAATGGGCGCTTCTGAAGAGTCCTATACTGCGACGAAACAGCTGTCCAGTGCTCCCAGGTTTCCAATATTCCTCCAAATAGTGTCAGTTTGTGGTGAATACTAACCTGAAGTCAATAAATAATTCCCTACAGACCTCTAAACGGAAAAAATTAAATGTTTGAAACAAATCTACTCACTTCTTATTATCCTAGAACTTTTGAACATTTTAACTAAACTTCGTCTATTATCCTTCCACACACACTCCCATTTTGTGCAGTTTATTATCATCCTATTTCTGTTCACTTTCTGTTTATGTGCTGTTATAAAGCATGTCAACTTAAGATGATGCACTTCTCTCTAAGGTCTACTGGCATACAAAACACATACTCTAATCACTTTTGTTACGTAAAAGTTGCTGGTTGGTGGTTCTGTTTGGTACATCGATGATCAACTGTTCGACTTTATGCTATCTGACTTCAGTGATAACGTTTCAGTTGTATGTCAGAGCAAAGTACACTTCATTATAGCATATTGGATGCACGTTGGGTGAACACATATTTTGTCATTGCAGCGTAATATGTTATGAGAAGCAGGCAGTTATGGAACTGATGCCCATTAGTCTAGATACCTGACTTTCACCCTGTGGGTTGCGGGTTCGAACCCCGTTCCACCTACCAAGGTTTGGGTATCATTAGCCTTCACACAATAGGTATAGCTCATTGTCTATAGCTCGAGTGTGCCCAAGATTGCTGGGTGGAGTTGTGAATAGTTCTCCGCTTTGGTTATAGTTCTGATATTTTTAGTGATTTCAATAGATCATGGCATTAAAAAGTTCACAATTTGGAAGAAAACAGCATATATTCAGGATAGTTAACGAATTGTCGCAGTTATTTCATCTGAATCGAAACCGAATTGCAGTTGTGGAACCACACACACACTCGTTCTTGTAGTAGGTAATATGCCGCACTTTATTGTGTGAAGGCTAATAATACTACTTGGTTGGTCAGATCTCGGTAGGTAGAGGGGGTTTTGAACCAATGATCCACTGGTAGAAAATCAACTGCTTGTCCTGATGAGCTACAATCTCACTTTTATACCATTTCAGGAACCCTGCTTAATTTTCTGAAGTTTTGGCAGTCAGGTAGTATTATCAGACCTCACACAATAGATGTATCTTATTGCCTACGAGACGAATATACACGTGGTTGCTGAGAGAATTTCGATCTCCGTATTTCTAGTTTCTAGTGTAATTTTCAAAAAACGAAAGATAACTTCTAACGGCATCTATCCCTGTATAACTTTAGTTTGAGCATGCTCATGCATTCAACAGTAGACTGTAGATAGAAAAGTATGGTGATTGATTGTTTCATCTACTATGTCATTATTTTTACTCACTGAAGTAATATGGTATGAAACGTCCTCATGATGACGAGATTCTGGCTCATGTTTTGTGGATGATCTATTTCTCAGGTTGGTATTCACTATAGATTGACATCAGTTGGACGAATATTGGAACCTGGGAGAACTGGACAGCTGTTTCGTCCTACTGTGGGAATCTTCAGCAGTACTCATCCTCGACCCCACCAGGGCTCGAACCCGGGACCTTCGGGTTCCACGGCCACCACGTTACCATTGAGTCCCGGATTGAATTAATCTAGTGCTCATTGATGACTAGCTTCGAGAGGTGTTTGCCGAAGTGGGACCAGTGGGACAAACCTGGTGGCTGTGAGGATAAATACTCAACGCGCCATGTCGTGAACTGACAGAAGTAGAAAATATGGACCACTGGATTCTAGACTCACTGGTTCAATGTCAACCTGGTGGGAATGGAACCCGAAGGTCCTGGGTCCGATCCCTGGTGGGGTCGTCGGTGCGCACTGCTGAAGAGTCTCATGGTGGGACGAAACAGCTGTTCAGTGCCCCCAGGTTTCTATTGGTCCTCCAACTGATGTCGGTCTATGATGAATACCAACTTGAAAAATCTCTAAATCCCCACAAACCCCCAAATTCAATTGATCTATTCCTGTTTATGTGTTAACTGTGCGATTTCAAATCACACTACAATTGAATACTCCAAAAGCGTCACCTTTTAGTTGTACAAGGGACGGAGAAGGAATTTTCGAGCGAATGTTATTTAGTGTCATTTCACTCACAGATTTCAACAGAATTGAATACCTCCAATCCTTCACTTGTTACAGTCAGTAGTCGTTATAGCGATAATAATAATAATCGTAATGATGAAGAGCACATAATTTTAAAAAGAACATGAGTAATGCAGACAAACTGTTTAGTTATTAATGGTGGATAATGGCCAGCAGTGGAACTCAGGATGCGCATTTAGTCCTACTTGGGACTCGTCAGCCAGACGTACCTGCCTCCCAGTAAGTAATGTTGTTCCCGCCAGGACTCGGGCGCAGAACCAATCGCTTCAAACGTCAAAGCGTTATCCACTAGGCCACTGATTCAAAATAGCCACTTATTGTGTGACGGGCATAGTTTTTATGTTGCTTACTTGTAGTATCCCGTCGTCAGTTGGACCGAATTGATCAGTTTCTGTTGACACATGGGCTCCCATGCAGATGCTTCGATACTATATCGAACTTGAAATTGCTGAAATCTCGATAGGTGAAGTGAGGTTCTAACTCGTGACACACTAGTTGTAGATCAAATTCCCTAGATAAATGAATACAGCTTCATGTGAATAGGCAAAATGACTGGTTAATATTATTATTTCCTGTATACCAAGAGGGTCGTTACACAGAAAGAAAACCTAGTATACAATTAAATCATTGTCTGAAGGGAACACTATGCTCATTTTTAAATATTCTAGTGCAGCATGTAACCGATTTTCTGTTTATTTCAGGGGAATCTGTCGCTCAAGCTGAATGGTTTACTGAAAATCAGTATGCTACTGCTATGGATGAAGTAAAAGATATAACAAATCCACAAGCTGCTCTAATCACATCATCAATGTTAGACAGCATTACTGCAACTTCTACAGTGACCAACACACCTCAAGGTAATTCGTTTTCCCTGCGTTTTTTCTGTGGTTTTCTCTTTGAAGTATTGTTTTGTTTTTAGAATTTCCATAAGAAAAGAACCAGTGCCGATTCTGAGGAAACCTGACTTGATATTAAGCCTGCTGTAGAAATAGCGGTAAAGCCAATTGGTAACCTACACATGACAGTTAGCAAACGTCATTTGATTTTCGCGACATCGTCTGGACTGATTGATGCGAGAAGACTGATTCCAAGTGGCTCTGACCACCATGAAGAGCGAAAGCAACTTAGACGTAAGTTGAACAAGAGTCTTCGCATCGATGGTGAAGAGTGGTGGGTGGCGAAGGCATCTGTGGTGGATAAAATCTAGTAACTATGTAGGCTTATTAGGGAGACCGGGACGAAGAAAACGATGGTAAGTGAAATCGTGACTGAAAAGAATAGGACACTGATGCCTCTTAGGATAGACGGCTAGAACTGTAGGCGTGACACTGAAGCACAGTTCAACTGGGCTTCAGCAACACTTGAGTTGTTCAACATCCAGCCCAGAGGTGAATGAGATGTAGATGTTGGTCGTTCGACTCTTCTCGAAGCTGAGAAAGGTGTATGTAATGTGGAAGGATGGAAAGCAGCAGGAAGTGGGGATTAGCCACCTGAAGTTTTCAAGGATGAAGGTTGGAAATTGCTGCTTAAAGTGACGGAGGTACTCGGTAATGCATGGGAGTCAGAAGTATTCACGTCAAAGTCGTCTGTTTCATTCATTATTCCAGTTTATAATAAAGAAGAGTAACCTTCATGTTACAAGCAGAGGGGAATCAGTGTGATTAATATCATGTTAAATATCTTAGGGTCCATAGTTATCCGATACTCAACTGCAGCTCGATAACAACAAACTTGAGAGAACCATACTGGTTTCATACCTGGAAGAGAGTGCATTGTTCAGATTTTCACCCTCCGTAAGGTTCTGGAACACAGGGATGCATACCGGCAACCGAGACTTCCCATATTTCAGTCGTGAGGTGTTGCAGCAGTATCTGACTGTGAACAGGGTATCGAGCCAGTGTATAACACTGATCAAACCTCTCTATTCGAAGTTACACAGCCGTGTAAGGGCTTATAAAGACTTGTCATATAGATTGATGACAACTAGTGAGTCCGCTGTCAATGTTCCTGTTGAATTTCTTTATAGGTGTACCAACGGACATAACCTAAGGTACATCTGACTTTACACGAATTGGTCTACTCGCCGGAGGTCGGAGGTCATCTGGTTGACTTGGAGTATGCAGGCGATATTGCTTTGCTAGGTGAAGACTCTGATAAAATGCAGGGTCTTCTGGATGTGTTGTACAGAAATCTGAGTATATTTGGCATGCACTTCACACATGTCAAGTGTAAGATGATGCTTCAGAATTGGTCTGCTGCAGGTACTTCGATTTCAATGATAAGGAGTGAGGTAGTGGAATGTGTTGACTACTTCCTTTACTTGAGGAGTTGCATCAGCTCGAAGAGTGTGGGGTTGTTGACGAAATGTCAAGTTGTATACAGAAGACTCGTTTGAGACTTGCCAACTTGGATGACTTGTGACACCGACTGTTGAGATATTCGCCTATCTATCAAAGAACGAGTATACTGCGCTTTAGTCTGTTCCATCCTATTGTACGGCTATGAGACGACCATTAAAAATAGAAGACACTACGTGACTAAAGGGTTTTAACTACAAGTGTCTTCGTAGCATTGCTCACTTAATGTGGAATCACCATGTTAGCAATGTAGAGGTTAGATAAATGGCAAAGCTTCATCCGCTGAATTGGCTTAGACATGTTACTGAGCATACCGAGCCACCGCCTACTACGATATACTATGTTAGGATAAGTTGGATTACGTTGGAAGAGAGTTTAGAGTTGCCACACCAAGTCGTGGCATCAACCTTTGTGGTCTCTGACTGTTGATCTGAGCCGTTTAGTGAGCTTAAGGATTTCCTGATTGGGATGTCCGAGACTATAGAAGTCAGTGGTTGAGAAATTTCGGTAACATAGCTGAAAATGATGCAGATGTATTCACTTCTTGAATATCTTCATGACTTTTCATTTTCAAATACATTCTCTTCACACACATCTTTGATTTGAGTCTTTTCCTATCCACTTGTCCGTTCTATATACCACTGTGAACTGCGGCAACTTGAGGTTCTACATTGATTTTGTCTCTGTCTGATATTCATCCAAAACTTACTATATGATGTATTTCATTAGTTCATGAACTTAATCTAACTATTATTATTTGTCCCTTGGGTTCCTAGTGGAGCATAGGGTTTCAGTAGCACGTCTCCATTTCACTCCCTTCTCTAGTCTTTTTAACCTGGCTCCACGACTGCCCTCAAACTTTCATTTCTTCCTCACACAATCTCCTCCATGTCACCCTCGCCTCGGACGCGCAACGAACTCTTCGTTTCCCATTTGGCTTCCACTCGACGTCTTGGCCTGGCGCTTGATGACCCGAAGCGGTCTTCTCACTGTATGCCCAGTCCATCTCCACCTTCTGCTGCATATTTGTTGATCGATAGGTTCCCTGTTGGTTCGTCACCAGCCAGAGTGAGTTCCTTGTTGCTTATTCTTTCTGGCCATCTGATCTTCAGTATCGAGTGAGCGTAGGCGGCAGCTGTTGATGAATATCTGTAGTTTGTTGGAAATGCTTTTCATGACGCGTCAAGTTTCCGAACCATATAAAAGCACTGACTTGACTGAATTAGCGTTGAAAATGTGGATGTTGTTCACGTCTTATTCTGATTATTTCAAGTTAATGAAGACCTGTCTTGCTGTCTTTCCAATTCTGGCTTTGACATCGTCATCTGTGCTGCCGCCACCGCCTATAGTTAAAACAATGTTGCCTTGCCTGGATAGGTGAAAGAGACTACTTCCTTTAGGTTTCTCCCGTTGATGGTGATTGGTGCTTGTTGTTGTTATTTAATCTAACTAGGTTCCTGATATAATTTCATATCTGTATATAAATCCTACAGATTATACTGAACGACATTTGCACTGTTTCCTTCTTTTAGTGCATCCTTCATTTACATCACCAGCTTCAGATAGTAATATTACCAATCGAGTTACCAGTCATTCAGGTACTGTTGATGATGATCAATTACAATTACTCTATCAACAACTTGATGACAAAGATGATGAAATCAATAAGCAAGCTCAAACAATAGCTCGTATTCGACAACAAATTGAAGAACAAGATGAAGTTATCAACTCATTACGTAAAGAACGTGAAGGTCAATTGAAGGAGATCACCAACCTTCAGGTAAAAATGAAAAAGATTATTAAACAGTTAGTTGTCTGTATATTTTATCCTCTGAAATGTATGTTTTAAAGTTGACTATCTTTTAGAAAATAATGAAATTACACACTTTAAAATCATCTGTCATATGCCAATTGGGTTCCTAGTGGATTATAGGGTTTCAGTAACACGCCTCCATTGCACTCCTTCTCTGCAGTCTTTCAAACCTTACTCCACGGCTGCCCACAAGCTTTCGTTTCTTCCTCACATGATCTCCTCCATGTAACCCTCGGCTCAGACTCCCAACTCTTCGTTTCCTCTTTGGGTTCCACTCGAGTACCTGGCTTGGCGCGTTATGTCCCAAATGATCTTCTTAGTGTATGCGCAATCTATCTCTACTTTCTTCTGCATCTGATCTTCAGTATCGAGTGAGCGTAGGTAGCAGCTGTTGATGAATGTCTGCGTTTTGTTGGGAGTGCTTTTCGTGACGCGCCAAGTTTCTGAAGCATATAGCAGCACTGACTTGACATTCGTGTTGAAAATCCGGATCTTGTATTTTTTGCTGAGTGAAGTAGATCTTCACATTGATTTCAGATTAGTGAAAGGCTGTCTTGCTGTCTTTCCGATCCTGGTCTTGACATCCTCATCTGTGCCGCTCGTAGTTGAAACGATTCTGCCTGGTCGGTAGGTGAAAGAGACAACTTCCTTTAGGTTTCTCCCGTTAATGGTGATTGATGCCTCTTGTTGTTAATGCTGTTGTTGGTTGGGTATCTTCATCACCTAATTGACGTTATAGACAAGTTAGAAATCCATGTGATCAGAATATACGTTCCAAGTGATAACAAATTTCACTGCCTCTGTGATGTTATGTCATAGTATATATGAAGGTTGAACGTAAGCATCAAACTGAAATCATTCGTCTTAGGACATCATCTCTTGAGTGTTTGACCTTAAGTTTGATGTATTCACCTGTTAGGAGCAATATCAGAAGCTGTTTTACCGTATCTGATACTACTACTAACCAAGTTAGGTTCATTACACTCATTCTTTCCTTCTCTACTCTGATACACATGTATATACTGCTTTTCAAATCTAACTTTTCTAACTCAAATAATGTGAATGCATCGAACCTACGGATTCGTTTTCTTCTCTCCTGTTATACATCTGTGAGAAATGGCCGTTAAAAGTAAAAGACATGAAGTCATTATTGAATTTTGATCATAGTGTAGTGGGCGTTGCTGATACAACGGATATAAGTAGTATATATGGAGAGGGTGGCAGGAATCATAGGGAATTACCGGCAATGGGTAAGGTTTCTGCCAAGAGCAACGCAGGGGACAACACAGGCGTATTACAGGGGATGCTGCTGATAAGAGTGTATGAAGAGCTGGTCAAGAGTAAATCAAGACATGAACGGAGAGGAAACGAAGACATTTGCAAATGGTTACGTGAGTGCAAGGAGTACCATATGTAACCACTACCATTCAAATTGTTCGTAATAAACATTCTCTCGTCGAGTCGTCTTGTGTTTCTTCATTAAGTGTTTTCATAGCATTGCCCGTGTTTAGTGGGATCATATTGTGACCAATGTTGAGAGGGTCAGGCGAAGGATACTAGGCAACGTTGTGAAATTTAGTCGACTGAGATGGCTTGGACATGGGTTGCGCATGCCTAACCAGCGTTTACCTCGACGTGCCATACTAGGGTAAGTTAAATTAAATTGGAAGAGGTTTGAGGGTTGGTCAGACCAAAATGTGACACCAGTCGTTGAAGTCTGAGTAGTTGACGAGTTTTGGTAATATAGCTGGAAATCGGTCGCAGTGACGCAGATGTATTCATCTCTTGATTATTTGCACTAACCGTTATCTTCAAATTGTTTATTCTCTCGTACACACCTTTGCCTACTTTGATATAACTTGGGTTGATCCGCTTGTATATGAGGTTCTACGTTGGTTTTGTGTACTCGTCTTTCATCACACCTTGTGTATGTTTTGTTGGTCTTTGTTTTACCTCATTCCTTCTATCTCTTCTCTAGTGTATCTCTTTCTTTCTTCTTCCTCAGGTTGAATATCAATCAAGTAAAGATGAAGTAAAAGAAGTTCTACAAGCATTAGAAGAATTAGCTATGAATTATGATCATAAAGCACAAGAGATTGATTTAAAAGCTAAAGAACTTGAAGAAGCTCAAGAGTCTTTACTGAAGCAAACACGCTTAATGCATAGTAAAGATGGAGAATTATCTCAGTTAAAGGATACTCATCAAAATCAAAAGAAAAAGTACACTGAAATGATGTCTAGTTTATTAAAGGATTTAATCGATGTTGGTGAATGTTTAAATGATCAGATAACGGTAGGTGTTCAATATGTACAATGTTTTTTATTTATTTCTATTGTATTATTATTCCTCTTTATATGACACAACCGATATTAATTTACATAGTGTAATAAGAAGACGAAGGTTATCTGAGAAATGTCTAATGTATTCACGTTATACATTTCGAACAATTTGATCACGTATTAACTTGTCAAGACATTTCCTATCAAGGATGAAAATAGGATGGGGGTAAGATTTGGAAAATGTAGGGGATAATAAGGAGGAATATTAATACATTTTCACCACCTCCCTTGACATTAAAATGAGATGAAGATTGCCAAGGTAGGTTTAAGGTAGGAGGGGGGGGGGTTGAACTTTTGTATAGGTGAGGCTTCAATGGATCTAAGTGTACGGTAATGACGGCCTCTATACAAATTGGTTGTTTTGTGATCAATCGTGTGATCTGTTTCTATACTGTGACTACCTACCGACGATAACGTCTGTTTGCCCCAGATAGTTTACTCTTCCCAACATAACTCACACCAATAGTCAGAGACTTCATGGGCTGGTGCTACATCTTGGTCTGACCAACCTAATCTAACTTCCCCTAGTATATTACATCAAGGTAGGCGGTGGCTCGGCATGTTCAGTACATGTCCAAACCATCTCAGTCGACTAAGTTTGATAACTTCATCAATCGACTTGTTTGTCCCTGCCCTTCGCTTGGCCTCCTCAATATTGGTCACATGATGATTCCACCTTAACCGGGGAGTCTACATTTCGCTAAATGACTTGAACCAAAGGCTTTGTGCACTGATGCTATGAACACATGATACTATCTCCTCCACGTGTAAATATTCTTCATATTTCATATTTTCATGTCTAGTCACGTTTTCCTCTTTCCTATTCGCTTACTGGTTTTTGTAATGTATTGTTTGAGAATATAGTAACGTTGTAGCTGATGAGTGTATTATATTTTATCATGTCCCTATATTCTGTTCATTATTCACTCAGGAAATTTTTATGTCTAAGATCCAGGTATAAAGTCTTTCTTATACAGCTGTAAAATACAGACTTTGAAAGTAAACTACATCAGGAGTCTACAAATGTTTGAATATGTGTTTTCCCATAGTATTGTTCACATTTAATAAAAGAGTCATAGATTGAGCAAGACATCGCAATAAAAATTTCAATGTCACATCCAATGCTTGGAGAGTTATCAATGTCACATTCACAATTGATGATGATCATATGCATTGATATGAGCTAAGATAAATTGATTGTGGCTCTTAACCTGCCTTGTTGTATTCGTTGTCAAAAGAAAGGAAGGGTGGTCATTTTGTCTGTTTCTCGTAGTTACTGAAGTCTCTTGCATATAGAGTCTATTTGACCTGTTATCATTCATTGGATGGTTAAGGAGTATGCTGTCTATCAGAATGAAAAAAACCCAGCGGAGTTCATTTGGTTTTGAGGCATTGCATGCAGAGTGATGTATCGAAAAAAGAAGAGATAATTCAATGGAGAAGAATTTCTTTTTCGACGATATCATTTTCTACAGTTGTACAATCGTAGTTATGTATATATCATAAACATATAACAGTCCATTTAATAAACAATAGGTTATGATTGTATCATTAAGCTAGTCCTAAAAGAGACCGAAATCAAGGATAGAAAGTAGTAGTTACGTAATAATCTCTTAGACAATGGAAATCATGAGAAAGGTAAGGAGTTGGATACAAAGTGAAAATTCTTGTTGAGAGATGTGAAATGGGATGTTTGATTTTTCCCTTGGTAGATAGATATAAAAAAAGGTGAAAAAAGAAACAATTATCATATTAAAGAGGTGATAATAATAAACTAATTAATTATAATGAAATAAGAGATTGGACATACTTCTTCTGCACGCAAAGATCAGGTTTGAATTGATGAATTACCAGTGCTTCTACAGTAGTGGAGAATTGTTAAAAGTGTACTCCTTTTGAACTCTTCCCTTTGACTCTATAAATGACACTGAAGGAGGAATTGATCAAATGTTCAACCATTGAACTGTTAATTGATTTACATTCTCTTCTTGACAACCATGCATGATGATGTTCAGGCATACGTTTAGAAAATGTGTGCTTTGTATGGCCAATATAACTAGCTTCACAGGAGCAAATACACTTGTGGACATATTGAGATGGCGTAAACCAACTGCTGACAAGAGAAGGTGGTCTATAGCTTCACAGAGAAGAATTCCTTCAGCGATTTGAACGGTCAGTTCTTCTCGATCTCAAGTATTGTCCATTCAATGTTGGCTTCATAGTGAATCAATCTCTCAAGACAGCCATCTGGTCTTTAAATGCTATTATTCAGACAGTAAATTTTCTTCGCTGAATTGTCTCTTCTTTTCTTGGTTTTGTCATCCTCGACAGTAGATCATCATTAGCAATATGTATATCTATATCAGTTGATAAAGGTTTATGACTTCTTCACCAGACTTACTTTTTAAAAATCAATTTGGAGGTATGAGGAGGATTTATTTATTAGTTTCAGGCTGGTATTCACCACAGACTGACATTACCTAGAGAAGCATGGGAAACCTGAGATCATTGAACTACTGTTTCCTCCTAGTATAGGGCTCCTCAGCAGTGCACGCCTATGACCTTCAGTTTCCTCAGCTAGCATATTACCATTGAGCCGCTGGGTTGTCATCTAATAGTCCAAATTCTCTCAGTTTACGATATAGCATTATCTCTATCCAATGCTTTCGTTGAGTAACTGTTCTCGCCTCCAACTTGGTCAACCGCATCGGTCACAACTTTTATTAGAACTTTGTGAATTTCATCTCAAAGTAAGTCACTTCTGGACTCGAACCCTGGGGGGGGGGTCACGGGTGCGTACTGCTGAAGAGTCCCGTAGTAAGATATCGAGGAAATGCACTCATCAATCATATATACATCCGTTAAGTGAGCAGCAATAAACCACATCAATTCTGTTTGAGAGCTAATGGAGCTGAACATGGATCACTTCTCATCAATAAAAAAAAATGTTAGTCCTTGAGTTAACGAACTACTTGCACAAATTAAGGCTTTATTGAAGCACATATACACATACACATAACCACTAGATAGAGATTAATTCTCAATTGGCGTAAAGAGAGATATTAGTAAGCACTTTTATGTAGAAATATACACAATGAAATCGATTTACACATAAAAAAGTATTGAAAGAATAATCAGAAGTTTACCTGTTTTGAGGTTACTTTCAATCAATAAGTATTTTCTGTAAACATTGTTATCAATAGAGATTACCTATCATGGGAATAAAGTGTTATGGTTTTTAGCACAAAAATCTAGCTTACTGGCATTTGCTTGTTTACTTGTGGCTATATAGTATTTGTAAATGTATATATATATATATATATATATATATATATATATATATATATATATATATATATGCGTTTGTGTTTGTATGTTAGGTAAGATGTAACAGAAGTAACTCACTAAGACGTGAACATATTGAATTTTGTGGACACATCTCTCTTAGCGCTTCCTTGTAGTGATGTGTTGTTACAGACACGTTTTCGTCTCCTTGATAAAAGCAAGCAAACAAACAAACTCTTCTACTATAATCCAGAAGATTTTACAAGCTAAGTAAAATAAATTTTCCTATTGATTTCTTTATTCCATGAAGGTTACAACACAAGGAAAATACATATGCACACGCTTATTTTACATTACTCGTTTATAAAATATCAAGGAATCAAGAGTTGATTGGACTTGTTAAACGCCTTAAGGCATATGGTATTTATTAAGGAAGAATTTTTTTTCCATCCGAACGAAAAAAACAACATTTTGACGGTTGAGATTTGATATCTTTGAAAAAATCAATCAGTAGTCGGGTCTTGTTGGTCAGATGGTAGAGGACTGAACTGGTAACCTGAAGTTCTCTGAATCGAATCTTTTATTCCACGTGCAATCATCATCCCGTATTAATAATGAGAGTCCACTAAACCACTCAGATGGTCTCATTGATAATCAGTGTGATGGCCCACGTCTTTGATTCACCTTGATTTGGATTAGAATGTAAAGACCTAACTGATTTTGGATGAGATTAGGAGGACGCTTGATGAATTCAATATCAGAATGTATTACAGATCACATTGAATCTTGTTAAGGATGAGTCTTCAGGTATCACAACCTAGCTATATTTGCCAGTGTAAGTGATCAAACTGTAATCCACTTTACATCGAGGTTAAGAAGAAGAAACGTTGAAGGCCTTCTATTCAGCCGCTAAGAAATCCTGGAAAGCTCAAGAAACTTGAAAACATTTCAACCATAGCTTCATACATCATAGTATCAGATCACAAAATCGATTTCCGCAATTTTGAATAGACATGTACGATAAAGACTATGATCACATGTACACATGTATAAACTTCAATTTATAATTCACGCATTTGACACACTAAGCATGCTTGTCACGAAGACAATGGAGAATCATCCATAAGGATTCGAGTTGCCATTATATATACCTTAGTATTGTAAACTTTGGTTAACTGTAACTTTTATAAAGTTTTTAGTACAAAACAAGTAAAAATCAGTAAAAGCGAATTCCATGGAAGACAAAACGTCATATTCGCCAACTCTCAACAAGTACTTCCCAATTATCATCATCATTAGCTCAAATGCCTGCATCAGTTATTCTCTCATGTATAGTGGAAGGGTTACTGTCATCCTCACCTACCAATACGACATGATCTATATCATCAGACTTCTTAAACCCGTTTTCATCTTAACTATTCCCATTATTTCTAGGTAATTACTGAGAGCCTCTTTCAAAATAAATGTTGTTCCTTTTATTACTCTGTTATTGATTGGAGTGAATTGATCATTCTTGATCGTTATATGGACCTCTGCACGGACATCTTGATATTGCCTGTGTTTCAATTTTATATTAATGATAGATAGTCGCTAGCAGTAGGATCCAGGACGCATGTTTCGTCCTACTTAGGACTCGTCGGCCGGATGTGCCTACCCCCAAGTGACCAATCACTGTAAACGCCAGAGCGTTGTCCACTAGGCCAACGAGTTATGATTACTACTTCTTGTGTACACTTTGGTGTTCGAAGCAGTTGGTCCGGGCTTCAAATCTTTGTCAGAACAACATCGCCCACTGAGATCCAGATGCATCCAGCTGACGCGCGTCCTGGTTTCCACTGCTACCCACTATCCATCATTAATACTTTTGGATGCAGATACTAGTTGAATGTCATTCAGTATTTGATTGAATTTTTCAGTAATCACGGCTTCCGTTTCCGTCCTTTCTTCATAGCGTTGCATAAAAGCTAGGAATTCTTCATTAGAAAGAATTGTCATTGTTTTGCCCGTTGCTACTCGTCATATACGCGGTTAGATATACATAAGTGTGTGAGTGAACACTTGAAGAATAACTTTCAGATTCTAACCTTGACGGTCGCATAATCCCTCGGTAACTGGGAATGATAGCAAGATAACAGAAAGCATATTGTAACGTAAAAATATGTACAAAATACATTCTACAGTGGCTGTTTCTAGGCCTTTTTAGAATGTCATATCCTATTGATTTTGCCTTTTCAATCAATCTCATATTTACACTTAGATTCACGTGGTTTTTCTCAAAAATTCGAAGTAATGTGATTGGTTGTGAAAGGCTTCAGGGATTTAAAGCTTCTTATATGGATCTGGACATTCAAAGTATAACAAAAATATAAATGTAGAAATATGGAGTATTGCATACTTTCTCGATATTTCTCAAACCAGAAATACCTTTGAATTTGGATCAGTAGGTCATAAATTGATGACTGACATTTCCTACCCTGCAAAGGAAAAGCAATATGCTTTCTGTATACCAAGAAAAGCTAGCTCGATCCCAGAAGAAGTGATGTGCGTGTGTGTATGTTACACGCTTACATCTCTTATCGATATTGAATTGTATCGAGGCGATAATTTGTACTTCTTTGCCTTGATAAATATAAAATTCTAATTTCTTTTGAAGATTATTATTAAATCAATTTATTTCCCTGTATTCTCTATACAAAATGTGTATATTTTCCCACATTGAGTTCACGCCCATAATAATGTTTTATAGGCGTATTGCTTTTTCATATTCTATAGTTTATGTTGTCTGCATTAAGTACTTAACTTTCAATTGGGCATTTAATCAATAGAAATAGTTTTTTCATAGGCGTTTTAATCATATTCATTTGTCTGACGATAATAATAATAATAATTTTCATGAAGTGAATTGATGATGATACCCTGTCACCTGATTGGTCATCATTTCATCTCATAGATATCCCTGTTTATTATCTGCATAACTGTAAAAGTTACCACTAGACGAATGACAAAGCAATGAAACTAATGTAATTTTAAAAAAAAAGTTGTAAAGGAATGTTAAGCGTCAAAAGAAAAAGGAGATGCAGGGAATAACGCAAGTGAAATCAATTTTCAACCATATTATCTGTAACTATTTAGTTTCATTGTCTTGTGGACTTCAACGTTGACAAGTAACCTTTCTTTACATAACCCTGAGACTAACAATAAATAACCGCATCCACTTGAGTTGATAAAAGGCTTACAATCTCCTTCACGTAAAATTCTACTTCTAACCTTGTGTATTGTTCACGTGGTAGCTTGATAATCATGAGCAATGCTACAAAGGCGGGGCTAGTCACTCCTCATGGAAATTTATTAAATCGTCAAAGTTATAAAGCGTACTGTTGTGTGGTGGTGGTGTACTCAACACTCACACGACAGTGAATAACGCATACTGATAAACTCTATGTCTAATATGATTAATTATTTTACTTTTACCTTCTCTTATTTATTTATTTATTTTGATAACAGAAACCATCTGTTGGTTCTGAACGATTAGATGAAGAATTCACTGTTGTCCGTTTGTATATAAGTAAGATGAAAACAGAGGCGAAATCATTACATTCACGTGTACGTCAACTGGAAGAAGAACGTGTACAACACGTACAATTATTACGTAAAAGTGAAGATGAATGTAAAGATCTTCGTACACGACTTCATGCTGTAAGTCACTTTCATACTGTCTCAACTATTAATCTGTATTATTCTTTTATTTGTTTCTAAAAACAACTTATAGTGAGTTAGTAAAACCGTATACACTACATATATATACACTTCTAGGTTGGCTAAATCAGGCGGTATTATCACTTGTGTACATTTAGGCAACGTATTTACTTCATAGATTTGTACTTAGATTGATGCCAGCTTGGAAAACTAGTGGATAGAAAAAAAATGATATCAAAGTAGCGAAAGGTGTATAAGAGAATAAACATTTTGAAGAAAAACGTTATCACAAATATTCAAGCTTTATAAAGGTGCTATGCAGTGAATTCATCTACACCATTGTGATAGATTTTCAACTATTACATCTAGAGTCCTCAAACACTGATTCCTATCGTCTTGAGGACACCCGGACCAGGCAGTCTACATAGATTGGTACCATTTCATCGTCTGGCCATCCTGAACCCTCTTCTAATCTAATCTAACTCCCCCTAGTATAAGACGTCAAAGTAGGCGGTGACTCAGCTTGCACAGTATATGTCCAAGCCTTCTCAGACGACTAAGTTTCACAACCTCATAGACTGACTTGCCTTTCTTTCGAATATGAGGATGAATACTCAACGATACCACTGAATGATGGTTGCGCTATATCACCAATTGACAATAATATCAAACTGTAAACTATTGGAGTCTCAACGTCAGTGACTCAGTGGCAATGAAAGTCCTGCATTTTATCTCTGTTGGAGTTATCGGTAAACACTGTTGAGGAATCCCATGAAACAACTATTTAGTCGTTCCAGGCTTTCAATGTTTCTCTGACTGGTATCAGTCCATGATAAACACTATCGCAGAATTGACTCATCTCCACATACCTCCAAATTGAATATTCTGAAGATTCTACATTATCTCTATGTACAACTGATGTAGATCTCATAAGATTTACTATCGAAAAAGATCATGAGCATTTTCTACTAATATCATACAACTTCTTCTAGAACAATCATCTTCATTATCATTCATGCAGGATTTATAGAATATCTAAGCCTATAAACCTAAGCATGTTGATTATCCTCAAGCCTTTTACTGTCTCCGCTGTGCAATTAACATCTTTTGTCATTATTTGATTGTAGTGCTAGTCGTTTTCATCACTTAATAAGTACAGTAAATATCTTTTAGGTTGGAATTAACCATGCAGTGGCATTAGTTAGAACATTAGAAACCTAGGAGGACTGAACAGCTGTTTTGTCCTACTAGTATAGAGGTCCTCAACAGTGCGCACCCACGATCCCCCCAGGGATCGAACTGGAAACCCTCAGGTTCCGTGGACAGAACGTTACCATTGAGTTGGCTACTGGATGTCGTCGTTGAGTAAATGTCCTCATATTTAACTTGGTTCACTCCACCAGTCACGACTTCTCATTGAAACTTCGAAAATCACTTCTCGAAGCTAGTCACCAATGAGCTCTAGATTAATTCAATCTGCGGGAGGGGGAGTGGTTGTGGAGATTTATTAATTGCTAAAGGTCATAGGAAATAAGGACCATTGGATTCTGGTCCAGTGGCTCAATGGTAACGTGGTGGTAGCGGAACCCGAAGGTCTTGGACTCGATCCCTGATGGGGTCGTGGGTGCTCACTGCTGAGGAGTCCCTTCCTAGTGTGACGAAAAAGCTGTCCACTGCTCCCAGGTTTCCAACGTTCTTTCAAGTAATGACACTCCATGATGAATTCCAACCTAGAATCAATCAACTGTCCACAAACCTCCAGATACAGTAAATATCTCGGGATACAAATACTATGTGCATAAGAGTAAAAAGAAAATCACACCGTCCCTCATCTATACCAAAAAAAATGAACCATAGTCCTCTCAACGACCTTGTGCACGTTCTTGTAGCAGACAATGAACCACACTCATTGTGTTGTGAGGGCTAATGATACTACCTGTCTGCCCAAACGTCCTTATATGGAATTGGACTCGAGCCTGTGACCCATCGTTTGCGAATCTAGTCCGTAGATGGATGAGACGACTCAGCTTCACACTTATATCACATTATGTAGAGGTGTATCAAGAAGTAGTCAGAATATTTTGCAACTTGTCTCGAATTTTATTCACAAGATTACAAGGAACATAACCTACGAGAAGAACAGCTGCATTCGTCAATTGAAACTAGCCCACCTACAACTTATAAAGTAGGCACAAAACTTATCTATGATGGAGAATATTCTTAGTTCAGATGGATTATTTCGGTTGTATTGTGTTCTCTGAGTTGGATTGTATAATCGTGGAGCTTTCATCATCTTGCTACACAACATCATCACCAGTAACTTCAGTATGAAGTGAGCCGCGAGCGATTTAGTAGCTTGCCATGACCAACTGCTTTGTATATGATCAGTTGTTTCATTTGATTGTTGTGTCATTGACTGACTGCATAGATTTTCCTGTTGGCTGTTCGTCTGCTTCACCTCTGACCTTTCTGTCATTTATCATCTTTCTCATTGGTTGATAAATTCGATCTATGTCTAAACAACTGTTGATTGCTGTTGACTGACTGACCTGAATGCCAAGCTTCTAGGAATTCTCTGATGATATTCTTTGTGTTTCCTCTCTCCGTCCAACATTTCTACATAGTCAAAGTTGAATTCATCTCCATAGTTTTTATCCATGTGGATTAAGTGATGAGTGATAAAATGTTGTGACCTTTAATAATAAAATATAGTTCATGTTAGTTTTTATCTAATTTTAGTTAATTTTTATAACACTGATTAATTTTAGTATGAAGTGAAAGTTGACACTCTGACGGATAAAATTGACGATTCTGAATCACGTAAACGTCAGTTACAAGAGACAGTGGATAGTTTGAATGGAGAATTAGCTAAACTACGTGCTAGTGAACAATTTAATGCTGGTTCTGGACAACAGAATGAACAAATATTAGCTGGTCAATCAGCTATACGTGCAAAATTAGATGAAGAATTTAAACGGCAATCTGAATATTATGCTGCTCAAGTGAAAAGTTTACGTGATGAATTAGATGAAAAACAAAAGAAATTAGAAGAATACAAAGAGTAAGTTTTTATTGTATTGTTATATCTAATGAAGTGAGGAGTTGTAATTTATTGATTTAGGCATTTTACTTTCAACCTGTACTTCACATACTGTGTCATCAATAGCCTTCAGAAAATATGTGTATTTGGTTCACCACCTGTTACAGTAACCTGTCAGCCTCTTGCCGATTATCTCCAACCAACTAATACACTAATCACTTCTATAGTCTTGACAATTTAATTTCATCAAGAAAACTGGATTGTTATGCCAGACGGAGATTTAACTTCTTCATTAGTCCAGGTTGTTACTAATAGTAACATAACAACAATAATAATAGTTATATCAACAATTGTAGGAAGTTATCAGAAATTTTATAACTGGAATCTTATGTTGTTGCTGAAGGGTCCAAAATAGGACGAAACGCGTGTCCTAGATTCCACTGTCAGCCACTATCCATCATTATTATATAAAAAGAATCTAAACTTATGATACTATTGAGATGAAGACAAGATGTGCATACATCTACGCAACGTTGACTAAATTCTCCGTTGATGTATTTCAGTTATTTTGTGAACTGCAACGGAGAAGCTTATTCTTCTCTATCTGACTCGAACTAGCGTTCAACTACTTCATGGATTGGTGCAATTTAGTCATCTGACTTAACTGAAAGGGAAAATCATTACATTTACTTTAGAAGTTATCCCAGTTTTGGTCGTTCCTTGGTCGATGAAATCTTGTCATATATGCAAATGGTTCGTTTTACTGCAACTTAGGCCATTTATGGCTGTGATAGGAAATGTAGTCGCCTACTAAGGGTAGTAGTTCACTCTGTTGTATCTCGTAGTTGTGAAACATGATCATTAAAGGTAGGGAGTGCAACAAGGCTTTAGATTGCCTTTATAGCATATGCTGTGTGTTGTGGAACCTTACCATGTTAAGGAAATAAAGGTTGCCCCTAGAAGAGTAAGTCAGTTCATGAAATTTTAAATCTTCATCGACTGTGAAGAGACTCATACAACTTGACGTATGACACCAATCCGTAATAATAATAATAATAATAATAATAATAATAATAATAATAATAATAATAATAATAATAATAATAATAATAGATCACTTCAGTCCAGACATGTTTTTGAATACAGTACAAAATTCTCAGCAAATTTAGGTTATTTTGTATCTGACGTTTGTTTTAAGATCTACAGGCTGAAGAGTTGGAGTCTATATGATTTGGATTACATGTTAGAGAATGCAGTGTAGTGATGTTGATACCATCATAGCGTTTCGTCTTCCTCCTAGGCGGTATATGGATAGATAGAAAGAAAGAATGAACGTAGAACCTTGCAGACAGGTGAATCGGTTCAAGTTGTCACACTTCACAAAAGTATATGAAGAACAAATACACAGAAAATGACTGATATCAAAGTAGATAAAGTTGTGTGAGAGAATAAACAATTTGAAGATATAGGTTAGTGTGAATATTCAAGCTTTAGAAGATGTCAGATAGTGAATACTCTGCTCTACTGCACCCATTTTTCAGCCATATCACCAAGAGTTCTCAACCGTTGATTTCTATCGCCTTAGGGTTAGTCTACATCTCCAAATATGGTTCAGATTAACAGTCAGAGGCTTCATAGATTAATACTACGTGCTAGTCTAGCCAACCTGAGCATGTTGAGGTACGTTGTAGGTTGGCATGCGCCCTAAACCATCTCAGTCGATGAAGGTTCGCCAACCTCATCAACTCGGCTTGCTTTTCTTGCTCAAAACTCTTCTTATTTACCTCTTATCTTGGTAGACGAATGTGTGATGCAATAACCTATATCGTTATGTAGTATCGCCAGATCTAGCGTTTATATTACCAACTAACTATTTAACTCATATTTGGCTTTCTGCCAATTTCTGTGCATTATTTGTCGTCGTAATTGTTTATATCAAATATTCTTTGTTTAACTAAATATTATTCAACTTTCATATTTCTGCTTATTCTCTATTTATTCTCTTGTATCCCAGCTCTGCAAATAATTTCAAATTCCAGTATGAAAAATCTCAAGAAGAAGTTACACGTTTACGTGAAGAATTGGAGAATAAATCAACACGTTTAGAGACATTGGAGAAGACAGCAGAGAAGCGTGAACAAGCTAAACAAGATTTACGTGGTCTTGAGGAGACAGTGATTAAAGAATTACAAACACTGCACAATTTACGACGACTATTTATACAAGATTTGAATTGTCGAATTAAAAAGGTTTGCTTCAATGGAGGAGGGGGTGTATATTTGTTCTTGTCTTTCTTGTGTTCTACTAGCTATTCTCTTTTTATTTATTTGTTATGCATCATTTTATTTCCGTTATGTAACAGGTAGGGTGACCAGCTTATAACACTGATCAAATGCAATAATTGAGCTGTTGAATTGCAGAGGTGTATATCCATTTTTATTCGTCACAGTCTAGTGCGCAAACCAACTAGATGATCCATCCATGTATTATAAGAATAAGTTCTGCTTGGAAAATCAGCAGCTAGTTAGTTATCCCTATTTCATCCAGCCGCATAGTCGTTCTCCTCATTACATCGCCTCGGCTAACTGTTACGGGTTCGAACCCCACCCCACCTACCGAGGTTTGGCGGGCTCTCAGACAATAGGTGTGACTCTATTACCCTACTGCACGGATGTGCACAATAGTGGCTAAGTGCGTTTCATTTTCGTTCGTTCTTTCACCCAACTGTATGTATATATCCTGTATCATCTCTGTGCAGTGGAGAAAAGTCATAAAATATCACATTTGTAAACTACTTCAGACACTGAATATATATACTAGGTCGTTATTTAACCGAAAATCTTTACAGTGCATGCTGTGGAGTCAATCTTTCTTTTTGATGTGCTTCCCCTTCTCTCTTTTTTTCTCTCCTTGCCCTTCATCTCTCAAGAAGGTTGATTTAGAAGGTAGTCAGCTGCATTCAGTACAGTCGATACTGTGGTCAGAAACTTTAAAAATATCATCTGCTTGAAATTTCTTGCATTTGATGTAGTTGACAACAACCTCACGTCAAAATTTGTTATTTCGTAAAGGTGACTTCCCCATAACTGGGATTTCGCCAGCCTATGCTACTATCGAATCTTATGAATACGAGATATTTGTCTTCTAAGTGGGAAGGGGAGGAGAGAAATGTTTTGTCTTTAATTCCTTCATTGTTCGCTAGTAGAACGTATTGAAGTTTTTCATAAGATTCCTTGCACCAGTAGCTTTACTGAGGTTACATATCTTCTAATTTCGCTGCAAGATTTCAACATTTACTGTCATTTCGATCAAGATTGAGCTTCATTAATTGGAAGTGTAGAGCTTAGCTAGTACTGTTTCTAGTGCCTATGTTGAGAACGAGAAGGTCTTCAAATACTCTTGACTTAAACATTACCTGCTTGCTACTGGCTGCCTGTAGTTTGGCACCGAATCTATTTTGTGACCACTGCATAGTTTAACGTGTTTAGTTTAGTATATATTGTTGTAATCTGTATAACTTTGATTATTGCATGGTAGAAAGAGATGGTTGGTGGTAGACTTTTATTTTCTTCCTTCATTTCCCCACCCTATGATACATTGTTTATTTGTTTTCATCTTGTCTAGTCTGCTAGTCGTGTAAGTGCACTAGCAGCTGCAGAGAAAGCATCACCTAACAATCAAGGGAATACAATAAATTCTCCTGGATTAACTGGTCAACAGCAACAAATATCAGAAAGTCTACTAATGGATGATGATGATGACGATGAACCTAGTCAAGCTGGTTCACTTGCTCAACGTGAAAAAAATTGCCTTCCTTGAGAATAATCTTGATAAACTGACAAAAGTTCATAAACAGCTGGTACATGATAATGCAGAACTCCGTTGTGAATTGCCTAAAATGGAGAAACGTCTTAAAGTGAGTTAGTTAGATGGTGTATTTAGCTGTTTTGTAAAACAATTTTTACTTACAATTTATTGTCATCATCATTAATATTATGTCCACTCTAGGGGTTGACTGACTGACAAGATCAACGTAGGACTTCGTACACGAGTGCACCATCTCAAGTTAGCATACTTCACAGTAGTATACAAAAAGCATGTGGATAGAAAAAGGCTAATGTCAAAATGTGAGAGTATAAACAATCTGAAGATGAAGGTTAGTGTGGATATTCAAGTTTAGAAGATGTAAAGGGGTAGAATACATCTACACCATTGTGACCGATTGACAAATTGAGAATGTTTGGGATGTGTTCCTCGATGCCCAAATGCAAATTATTGCTCCAGGATTGATCTTCAACGGTGCCACGACTAATAATAGAGAGTGTAGTAATTGAGTGTGTCGACCACTTCACTTAACTGGGAAATAGGATCAGCTCTGATGGCTCAGTGGTCGATGAAATCTCGGCACGAATACACAAGGCTCGGCTGGCTTTTGCCATCTGTGGCGTCGCCGTGATATCCGATTATCTATTAAGGATTGTGTGTACTGCACAGCAGTCAGGTCTGTTCTACTGTATGGCTGTGAAATATGGCCATTGAAGGTGGAAGACGTGAGAAGGCTTCAGGTGTTTGACCACCGTTGTCTTCGTAGTATAGGGCGTATTCCATGGTGTCACTATGTGAGTAACGCAAAAGTGAGGAGTAGAGTCTTAGAGAGAAAAGGCAAGTTGGTTGACGAGGTTATAAACTTTCATCGACTGAGATGATTGGGGCATGTGTTACGTATGCCTAGTCACTGTCTGTCTCGTCACACAATGTTGGCGGAAGTAGGTTGAGGCTGGAGAAAGGATTGGGGTGGCCAGACTAAAACATGGTATGAATGTATGAACTGTTTAACTGTTGGTTTGAGCCATATGTGGCGATGCGGACTGGGTGGTTGGGGTCGACGGGACAAGAGGAACCAGTAGTTGGAGACTGCAAATGATGTAGTTCAGAACCCGTGTCACTGTCGCAGATGTATACACACATTATCCTCATCTTCACGGCGCTATACCGAATCTCGCCATTTTCTCATTCTTCCTTTCTCTTTTTGAGTACTTTATATTTCTTTTGACTGAATTTTCTCATCTTCATCTTGCACCTCACTGCCTTGTTTACTTGATGTACTGATATGAGATGTGTCTGGCAACTCGGACCGTTACGCAGTAATATCTGGTCCTATGTTGATATTGATGATGATGATGATGATGATGTGGTTCTTTATTCTATGCAGTCAACTTTTGACCAATGTGTTATGAGTTTTAACCCTACTCCAGCTTTCCAAATGTGGACAACCAGTTACTATTATTAATTCTCACGTGATAGGTGTAACTTATTGCTTAGTTGTGAGAAACAAAGATATCAGTATTAACAGATTAGTTAACTATAAAGGAGAGAGCCATGAATGCTCAAGATGTTGAGAAAGTTCATGCAACATATTCCCTTTGTCATTTCCATTAAAACGGGAAGAATATGATTTCAATCTTGAAAATTCACTATTATGATTTACTTCAAAGTACATCGTTCAAAGTTTTGCAACAATTTCTTTCCAACATCGCTTGACTCAAATTAGTAGCCAGGGAATTCAGATATTCTTTCTCTATGTTGTTGTATCCAACTAACCATAGCTCTCTTTCAATCTGTTGAGTACTTTGAGTTTATGTATATGGTTTTTGGGTTCAGCAGTCATTATAACTGGACAGTTTAAACTTGTAATTTTATGAAATTAATATTTTTATATTCTAGAGCACCTTGGAACGTGTACGTAGTTTAGAATTGTCATTGAAAGAAGCAAAAGAAGGAGCTATGCGAGATCGTAAACGTTATCAAGCTGAAGTGGAACGTATCAAAGAGGTTGTTCGTCAGCGGAATGTCACTACACGTCGTGGTCAATCACAAATTGCTAAACCTATACGTGCTGGACATGCACCGATTACTGGTGGTGGAGTGATTCCAATGAATCAACCAATTGTACGAACAGATATCTTAGGAGCTCCATAAAAAAAATATATATATCCTCATTTTATTTGGTTCATGATATATACAAAACCTCACTGGGAGCCTTAAATGCAAGTTTCCTTAGACATATATATATATACACACACACACAAACATATTTGCCCCGGTGGTCTGGTGTTCACTTTCTTTATGTTACCTGTTATTTCATGTTAAAGTCACTTTTAAACAGCAACATTTATCGTTATTATTATTATTATGTAATGGTCATGACTGATCGCTTCGTTTCGACATTTCATCTGTTGCTAGTATACAAGTGTGTGTGCGCAAGCGTTACACCTTCCTACGCCTTACCTTATTATTTTGTGTTTGAAACCTTAATTTTTTGAGTAATTCACTACTGATTGATTTTACTGTTGTTTATTATTGTTTATGATGATGATTATTCTGCCTATTTTTGGATAGTGTCGGTTTTATTTGCAAATGTGTGTGTGTGTGTGTGATCGAACTCTGAAGAGACATTTGGACTAACCACAACGTTGATTTATGGAAATGTTGATGTCAAAGACTAATTAGAAAAAGCCTAAGCAGGAATGGAGTATTTATGAATAGTGGATAGTGAGATATGAAAGTGCAAATATGTTTGTCTACATGCCTCTTCTACTCACTAATACATGTTAACGAAGGAATATTTTGTGTTGTTTTTCTTCCACCCTTCACAATATTATATTCTACTCTGTAGTCTTTCTTGTTTCATCTCTTTCAGTAGGTGCATTTTTAGCTACTGGTGATGGTGTTGTACAGTGAATGTTTGATTGTACACTCTTTAGTAGGTATTTTGCAATAAAAATTGATGAAATAAGGAAATAATTGATGAATAAACTTTAATCTGTAGTTGGAAGTATTCTTGTCTGTTGATTGGTTGATTGTCCACTTCTGTTGTTGTTGTTTTCATTGTCGTCTTTTTTCACCCCCACCCCATCCCATTTCTCATCGTAATTCCAGTTTTATATATACCGCATACTTCTTGTATTTATCTGGAATAGTTGGTCACAATTTCGTTTCTAAACACAAAATATTCTCATGATCATAAATATCAAATGTGATTCTTACTGCATGTTCACTTAAGTTTAAATTTTGCTAATGTTTCATATATTCTTGTCAAACGCGAATACATACTTGAGACTTCTACTTGCTTTGACTGTCTAACTACTTTTCGTTGTATTTCTCTTTGTTTGTTTTCTTGCGTGTGTGTTTTGGTTTTTTTCTCTTTGATTTTTCTCTTGGTTTTGCTTCCATATGAGAGATAGACAGTTCTTAGAATCGTACACAATAAGAGATTATAAATATGATCATAGTTCACTTATTTGGTTCTTTGTATTGTGTTTGTATAATGTAATCAGGAGATGGAGATTATCTAAGAAATGTGTGATGTGTTCGCGTTATACATTTCGAACAATTTGATCACGTATTAACTTGTCAAGACATTTCCTATCAAGGATGAAAATAGGATGGGGGTAAGATTTGGAAAATGTAGGGGATAATAAGGAGGAATATTAATACATTTTCACCACCTCCCTTGACATTAAAATGAGATGAAGATTGCCAAGGTAGGTTTAAGGTAGGGGGAGAGGGGGGGTTTGAACTTTTGTATAGGTAAGGCTTCAATGGATCTAAGTGTACGGTAATGACGGCCTCTATACAAATTGGTTGTTTTGTGGTCAATCGTGTGATCTATTTCTATAATGTGATTACCAATCGACGATGATGTCTGTCTGCCCCTATATTTATCGGATTATTTGAATGTAATTGTTTTTCTAACCATTTAGGGATATGCTCCACATCACTGTCGACTTCATAGTTCGATTACTCCTCCCAATGTGTATGTTTCACCGTACGCAGCGGGAAATGATGTAATCATCTATGTAGTGATGAGGTTTATTTTGAAGCAGAGGCATCATGGTAGTGTGATGTAAGCACCCTTTTTCGGGACAGAATACTGATTAGTTCACACTGTTGAGACGTTTTTACAACAATTGATGGACTTCAGAGAATATGCGTTCTCCATAAGTGTCTGTGTTAAGAATTTGATTTGTTCTTCTAATATATATGTTGTGCAGATGCGTTGGGTTCTTTTAAGTCAGCATTTTAGTAAACCTCGTTTGTACTGTATTGGACAGAAACTTGTGAATTTTAGGTACTGTCCAGTTCACATAGGTTTTGTATACATTGATCTCTTTATCAATCGATTTTCCCTTCTTAGTTAGTAACATATGAAGAAAAGGAAGGTGATTATTATTTTGTGCTTCATAGGATAAAGTAATGTGACTTTGTATAGTGTTAAGTCTATTTAGAAGACTTTCCGCGTCCTCATGTTTGTTACATATAACTAAGATATCACCAATATATCTCGTGTACAGAGGGACTGTTGATTATATCCTTAGGCGAAAGTTGTATATATGACATAGTGCTAAGGAGACTGCCCATGGCGATACCACCAAATTCTCGAAAATGTTCACCTTCGAAAGTGAATTGAAGTGAACCTTATGGGTGCATAGTAGTTATAGCTCTTAGAAATATTTTTTGGATGGATGTGGAAATAAGGAATAATCAAGGATATATAATCAACAGTCTTAGTTAAAGGCATGTTGGTGAATGAAGAGTTCACATCAAAAGAATACATTATCATATCTTTGGTATTAATGTCATTTATGTAGACGATATGTTCAAAAGTATCTTTCAATGTAAACTTACATTATTGGTTTTGTAACTGTACTTAGCATTTGGGCTAGAGATTTTGTCAATTTATGCGTAGTAGAGCGAAACATCGATAGTATTGTACATAATGGGATATTCACTTTGTGTATTTTGGCTAAAATATATACTTTTAGGTGTTTACACCCTACTGGTTTTAACGAATAAAATTCTTCTTTGCTAATGTCATTCATGGTAGGGAGTTTTACTAGACTTGCAGTTACTTTTCTTTCTAATCGGAGTTGTCTTAGCCATACGAAAGAAAGAAGTGCATTACAGATAATGTTCACGTCTGGTATATAGTATGCACAAATTATGCAATATCACTCCGATATATTTATCATATTGACTGGCGTCATTTTGACCGTGTGATCAAATAAGCGATATCGATTCGTTCAACGTGGAGCTATTATCTTTAATTTCTCATTAGGTTTCTTTATTTTATACACAGTATTATTTAATGGATGACGTTTCCAGCATCTATTATCACTGCTCATAATCATATCAGTGTAATTAAACAGAACTTTCGACATCTGATTTTTATAGTTCTGTCACTTCACATCATTTGCTTTCATTGGTAGTAAAATTTTCTAAATCTCTAGTATAGATATGGCGTCATTCGTATCGCATGTGTGTTGGGTAGGGGTTGGTTCGATGAACAAAGATTCAGTAATCAGTCGCTCCCTTTCTCCATCTCATCATATTGGACTTGAGTACGGTGGCTTTATCCCACCCTATTGTGTGTTAGCGTATGCATTGCAATAGCCGAATGTTTTTCCAGATTATTGATCCTATTCAGGACTGTCATTCTATATTTAGCTAAATTCCTATGTTCCGCTAATCTAACTGACCCCCGACAGACTAGTTTCACATATATACTTGACCTCACAGTGATTACATGGAACTTGGTAGATTAGATTATTTTGCTTATTTGGTTCTATCGGATCCTTAGGCTCGCAAACGTTATTTTCAGTATTCGTTTTATGAAAATTCAGATCATTCCTAAATATCCTTATCTATTTATTCCAATACCCACTGAGAAAAAATCAATAGAACATGTCAGCAAACTCTGTCTCAGGGAATAAATTCACAGGATTGTCAAAAAATTGAGTACTGTCCGGAATAAAATTGAACAACTGAAATGTAAATTTATGAAGATAACGAACAGTATGGATGAATTTCTTACGAAAACAGTGTGGAAATCGACTGCACTCACCATAAAAAACAAGATCCGGATTGCAGGATAAAACGAAGGACAGACGATGGTTTGGATGCTACTGTCCACACGAAACCGACACATTCCAACAGGTATCTAGGACTCAGGTCATCTCATCCAATGTCAGTGAAGGCGGGTTTAGTCGAATGTTTAAGTGATAGAGCTTGGTTGTATTGTGTTCTCTGAACTGGGTTGTTTAATCGTGAAGCTTTCATCGCCTTGCTAGACGACATCATCAACACTAACTTCAGTGTGAATTGAGCTGTCAATATCTCTTCGTGAGTGATTGAATAGCTTGCTCTGATGATGTGGTCTGTGATTGGTTGTTTCCTTTGATTGTTGTGTCATTGATTGTATAGACTTTTCTGTTAGCTGTTCCTCTGCTTCACCTCTGACCTTTCTGTCGTTTATCATTTTTCTTATTGGTTGATAGATCGGGTCTATGTCTATACATCTATTGATTGCTGACTGACTGACCTGAATGCCAAGCTTCTAGGAATTCTCTGATATTCTTTGTGTTTCCTCTCTCCATCCAAAATCTCTACATTGTCGAAATTGAATTCATGTTCACAGTTGTTATCCCTGTGCATTGAAATGAGTGACGAAATGTCTTGGCGTTTAATAGCTAATTGGTGCTCATGTAGATGAAGGCGAACAGGGCGACCACTTTGTCTAATGTAGTGCTGACTACAGTTATTGCAGTTGTTGATTTTGTAAATGATATTGGGTTTGTCTTCTTTGCCTGTTGCATCCTTTGGTCTGCATAATAGTGTTTGGAGGGAATTTGTTGGTTTATGAGTGGCCACAGCAATTCCAAGTGGTCTCAGCAATCTTGTTGTGATTTCTGATACATTCTTTATGCATGGTAGGACGATGCGTTTGTTGATTTCTGTCGATGATTTTGTAGTTGGTGATGGATGGGGTGGGCATCTTCTGATAAAGTTTCGTGGGTAGTCGTTCTTCTTTAGGATGGACATCAAGTAATTTTCTTCGTTTCTTCACGGCTGGCTTAAGGATCCCATAGAACCAGTTCAGCAAAATAATCTTATTTATCAAATTCCATATAATGGCTGTGAGGTCAAATACATAGGTGAAACTAGCTGTTCGTGGTTAATTAGAATAGCGGAATATGAGGATGATAGAATGACAGACAGCAGTGAAATCAGTAATCTAGAAAAACACTCGGCTTTCGCAATATAAACATTTCCATACACACCATCACACAGTAGGGTGGTATAAATTAACTGTACTCAAGTTCAATATAATTAGGTGGAGAGAGAGGGAGATTGGTTACTGTGTATGGTGGGGTTTTACCATTCCGTAACGTTTGACCAACCCTACTTAACTTAATGTGCTCTAGCACCTGCTTAACCAGTACCTTACCTAACATGTAAGTACTGATAACGAAACACAAATCAAAAGAACTGGTTTCAGGAATATATTCGAAGAAGTAATATATTTATTTAGAATAAATGTAATAGTAATTAATAGGGGAAAAGTTTATTCAACTTATCTGGCTAGTATGGCTGAACAAAGGACTCTGAGTACGTGCGTACTAACCAGCACAAAGGGAGCGCAAAATGGCGTCGAAGCCTGCTTGGATGCATGCTCGTCAAAACAAAACTTAAAACACCTAAAGCATCCGGAGGCGAGCTAGAGGTTTATTTAGTTAATTTAATTTATTTATTTTAGCCCTAGTTGTATTTTGGTGCCAGGAACGTGCACTGCAGGTTATCCCCCTCCTAGAAGGTTGTTAGGATACCGGCAACCTTCGATCCTTGGAGGCAACTGCGAGGCGGACACGCAACACCTTTCCACATTGGTGATGGAGTAGGTGACGTGTGGGTCTCCGAAGCTAGTTCAACTATGCACACCTATGAGGTACGAGAACTTTACGTCTAAACGCAACCCTTTTTGCAATGGTGGAAAATGACCCAAAGCCTCCGACTACTTTTCCCTATTGATCCTTAATATATCGGGAATGTACCAGGGGGAAATTGGTACAAAGAGAACCGCACTACAACTGAATCTTTGTTTATCGAACCAACCCCCACCCAACACATGTGTAGTAGGAATGATGCAACACCTATACCAGAGATATGAAAAGTTTTACTGTCAGTAAAAACAAAGAGAAAATGGTGACAGGACTATAAAAACCAGATGTTGAAAGTGCTGTGTGCTTACATTGATCTGATTGTAAGCGATGATAATTGATGCTTGAAACGTGGTCATCCAGTACATAATACTGTATAACTGTGTATTATAAATCGAATAAACAAATATAATATGGAATTACATCCTACCACAGTGCCAAAGTTTTATACTTATATTAATGAGACGTGAAAGTGTATTGTCCTTCTTTATTTCTTCTGTATTTCCCAGATCTTGCATTATCTTAGTTTACTTATCTTACCCCATCCTATTTTCATTCTTCATAGGAAATGCCTTAACAAGTGAATATGTAATCAGATTGTTCGAAATGTTTTGCCCGAATACATCACACATTTCTCAGATAACCTCCATCTCTTGATTACACTCTGCGAATTTATCAAAGGTCTTATTATTATTATTATTATTAGTCCTTTGTGTTCCTAGTGGAACATAGGGCTTCAGTAGCACGTCTCCAGTGAACTCTGTTCTCTGAGATCTTTAGAACCTGGTTCCACGACAGCCCAGAAGCTCTCATTTCCTCCT